GATAAACAACAACTCAAGCGTCCATCTCTATCTGTTTTGATATGAGTTACCGACCCAGATTTCAGCTTTAAATTGTGACAATAAGCCGGCAGTTGGCAAACGATGCTCTGGCAACCCCCTCAACATTCCAAGGCATAACATTTGGCTCTCCAAGCTTGAGAATATGAGATACTAATCTTGAACCGAGCATTCATGTCAGTCTAATTCATGTCCCCGATATACCCTACCATTCAAAAACATTAACTCAGCCAGAAACCACCCAACACCTTTTTGTTTGCCTGTCTATGGTGAGGAAAACTTGGGTTCTTGACATGTATGTATCAATAAAAGTCCTAACTTGAAACATTTCGCAATCTTTTATCCTCTTTGCAATCATACGCCACATACAGTTTTGTCAATCATACACCTTGTTTCGAAACGATCTTTGCTTGATTTGTTAACTTTTAGTTGATAGCCATCTTCCACACATTTCGTATACAAGCTATCTTCAAGTCTCCTTTGTATCAAAACAATCATCTTTCTTGATACGAATAATTTTGTGTGACAATCACTGCTATCTTTACCACTCTTCTTCCGGTATCTGAAGTAATTCTGGCATATTCCAGTTATACTCCGTGGCATTTTCTCGGGGACTTTTCTTTGGGGATTTCTTCTTCTTTTTCTTCTTCAGTGTTATATAAATTACAGAATGGATGTTCAACATGTTCATTACATCGTAACTCCTCCTCATTATCATCAACAACATCTTCCTCGGCAACGGCTGTTTCATCATCAAAATTCGGGTATTGACCAATATCAAAATCATTACACGCAGGGTCTGTTTCTTCTTTGAAAAATCATCAAAATTGGAGTACTCACAAATTTTTTTGTTGGCTCATCATCGTCTAACTGGTCAATACGAAAACCGGAATTTGGTGCTGAAAGTTGATTGGGATTTGGATTAGGGAAATGTTGTGGGTTTTGAGATTGTGTTTGGTATTGGAAATGTGGTGAAACATATTTGCTTGGTGATGAAATTGTGTGGAACCATTAAATTTTGAGCACCATAAACTGGGGTTGAAAAACTTAGTTGATTACTACCCGCTACTGACCCAACTTCACTACTTCTAGGTTCAACAACATACAATGTAACATACATCACACTTGACACTAATATAAGCAATGCGTTCAACATCTTCATTGTCGGTTAACAAATAAACTTTACCATTTCTCTGATAAGATAGCCTAAATCACTTAGGGGCTCTAAATTCAATTTATTTGCAACACGTAACATTAGAGTTTCATAAGTTAACTTTTTTAATGACAGTTTTAGTTAAAGATTCATGGGTAAAGGCATATATTGTAAAACACCATGAACATTCTCCCATGACCCTCTAAACCAAAAATCTATCCAAACATGATCAACATTAGATGATTTCATTATTGTAAATTAATTTACTAAACAAACGAGCTGCGAAACTAAAACCTGTTGCCGGATGGGGAAGGATGTCGTTGGATATAGGAACAAATGTCGCCAGAGAGAGTGATAGATGGAGATGGAATGAGTTGTGATTTAGGGATTTAGGTTATAAGTTGCTGCTGCTGTGTATTTATATACCCAAAACATTTGTGTTGCGAAATTAAAACCTGTTGCGAATTCAGAAATCGAGTTGCGAATTTGAAATTCAGTATTGCGATAGTTAGAATCTCGTTGCGATTTACTAAATCGTAATGCGATTATGTAAATCGCATTGCGATTTTCCTAATTCGCATTGCGATTTACGTAATTGCATTGCGGTTTACGTATTCGCATTGCGAATTAGGAAAATCGCAACGCGAATTTGGGAAATCGCAATGCGATAGTCAGAATCGCGTTGCGAATCTCGAAACTGATTTGCGATACCGGAGATCACGTTGCGAATTATCGATCGCATTGCGATTTAGTTGGTCATTTTGGCAAATCCAAAAAAAGTTGGTTAAAATCGTATATTATAAGGCATTTTTGGTCACTGAGGTTATTTAATTTATTTAGATTTCATCCTTTTGTGTTTTTTAATTTATTTCAATTTTAAGTCTTTCACTTTTATATGTATTCAATTTAGTCCTTAAATTTATATTTGCATCTTCATTTGGCCCATTGTTAGTTGTTATTTATATTTTTCTAGCTGGCCTATAACTTTTTAAATGTGTATAATTTAGTCTTTTTTATATTAATTTAAACCTCACATTTTAAATTTATTTCGATTTGGTCCTTACTATGTGTGTTGTTTAATTTATATCTTAAAATTTTATTTGTAATTTTACATTTCTTTAATTTTATCCTTAAATTTATATTTTTTACAAAATTGATCCATGATTATTTATTTTTTTGTTGTAATTTACTCGAAATCATATACAATTACACCTTACAATTCAATAATCACGAAAGATGACAAAAATAATTAATTCAAAAATTAAAATGACCCGACCTGAACTCAATATGTATCCGATAAACATCCAACCTGAATTTTATCTGTCAATGATATGACCCGATCTCAACGAATCCGACTGAAATCCACCTGAACCTGAATTAACATGGTTTTTATCTGCTTCGGACCTGAATTGTTTTGACCTGAACTGACATCGATCCGAATTGAAAATGACCTGATCTGAATCCGATCTGGATTTAGTGTCAAATCCACTTAAAAATAACCCGAACTGATTTGACTTGTACCCGACTTAATCTGAGTCAAACCATCAAATTGACCTAACTTAACCTATACCCGATTTTACCCGATCTGTCATAATCGAACTAAACATGTCTAATTACCTGATTTTATTAACAATCCAACTAAACATGTCTAATTACCTGATTTTATTAACAATAATATCAGTTTCACTTATTTGCATCATCGATATTATCGAATGTACAATGAAACAACACTTTCGATGATAATACAAAGACTGCATAAACGATAATTTATCCAATAACAAACTTTTATTGTTTCAATAATTCGTATGTTTTAAAATAAAAATGCACAGTGATCCAATATCACACCTCTTCACATTAACATTACATCTCTTCATATTAATATATCTTCATCTTAACATCATATCTCTTCCCATTAACACCGTATTTTTTTTTCATGACAATATGAAGGTCCACCGGAGTGTACAATCACGAATGCGTTGATTAGCATAGTTTCATGCATAATGATGAAGGAGGAAAGAAGAGATTATCAAGAATACATCAGAGATCGTAGGGAAGAGGATTCAGTCAAGCTGTTCGTAGACAACTAATTGCCAATGATACATTGGAAAGGTTTGTGGCATGCCTTCGCAAGACATATATAGACAGGTGATTGAAGCTTTCATAACTAGAAAATTTAGTAGAGGAAAAAGGTTTGGATTTATAAGATTCAGAAAAACTGGACGCCATCAGAGCAATGGAAAGACTTAAATGGTTTTGTGCTGTTTGGTTATAAGATTATTGTTGCTTTTGCACATCAAAGGGGGAAGTCATTTGCCTGGAGAAAGGTAAACCATGAGAGTAGCAAGCTTCAAATAAATGCCCAGGTCAACAATGGTTTTCAGAAGGAGCCTAGAGAAGTTGGTGAGAGATCAGCTTCAACCGAAAGAATTAATTGCAATAAGATGGTAAATGAACTGCTCAAATAAAAAAGTCTGGCTAGGAAGAAAATTCAGGGTCATGTTGAAGAGGAAGAGTTATAGAAACTAAAAAGATGCCTGGTGGGGGAAATATCAACTGTTTGTAGTGTGAATAGCATTGAGGATCGTCTACACTCTTGGGGGTTAGGAGAGATCAAAATGCAGAGGTTGAGAGGAAAGTTATTTCTTATTATCATTGAGGACGAAGACCTTTTTCTTCTACTGGAGGACCTAGATTGGTCTTACCTAAAGGAAATATTCGTAGAGGTGAAACAATGGTCAGAATCACTCAAGATAACGTCAAGAGTCACTTGGTTGGCAGTTTATGGGGTTCTAATTCATTGTTGGAACAATCAATCTTTCAAGAAGATTGCTGAACTTTGAGGAAGCATAGAAGCTTTAGGAGAGAATACCCTTCATTCTCAGGACTGTGAAAAGTTTAATGATATCTACTGAAGAAAAATTGAGAATTGAGGAAGTGGTCGAGTTTGAAGTTAGAAATATCTCTCACGAGGTGAGGGTAGTGGACGAATGTTAAAGGAGTCCCTGAAAAGCAGTCGGAGATTGGGTCAAAATAGGGAAACAAATCGTCATCGGAGAGGATAAATCATGGTAGTGTTTCAAAGGCAGATGAAGCATTAAATGATTTTGGTCTTGGAACGATTGTAATGATGAACTGGAGCATGAGAATAGCGCTATTGACAGATATAAGGGAGAAATGGAGGACTTATGCGGCAGATCCAAAGAATTTTCATCGTCCAACGTAGAGTTAATTTCTAGTGCCTCTGACATGGAAAAGATCTGCACAAAAACGACAAAAAAGGGGAAGGAACAAACACTAGATCCCTATCATAACAATGAGATAGGGCGTAACAATGACATTTCAGAGAGTGCTATTCTAGTTGTAGGTTCGAAGAAGAAAGAGGGAAGTTTGATCAAAGAATGGACCAGGAGATTTTGACTATCAGGGTTTTGAAAGATGTTAGGGATATGGGTCTCTTGTTGGCAGAAGGGCATGTAAGCTTGGATAAAACTCGAATGAAAAGAAGCCCAAAAGAAGCCAGTCAGAAACGTAACCAAAAGACTGCTCATTTGGTTGACATAGTGGATCATATGGATAATACTTATACTAAAGCAACACATTAGATGGGCCCATGGAACCCAAAAATGGAGAGAATATGGCCGAGGCCTTCTTTCCTGAAATGTACAGAGGAAGAAGTATATCAAGATATAAGAAGTATGGTCACTAAATGACATCCAGGAGAAATCTATATCCTTTCAGAGAGAGAGAGAGAGAGAGAGAGAGAGAGAGAGAGAGAGAGAGAGAGAAATCTATTTCCTGAAATGTACAGAGGAAGAAGTATATCAAGATATAAGAAGTATGGTCACTAAATGACATCCAGGAGAAATCTATATCCTTTCAGAGAGAGAGAGAGAGAAAGAGAGAGAGAGAGAGAGAGAAATCTATTCGTATTAGCAAATTAAAAAAAGAAGATTCAAGAGTCACAAGACTTCTCCGGGTGTTCTCTGTCAGACTCAGATCTGGTTTCAAGGAGGAATGTGTTGAGAAAAGAAGCTAGAAAGACTTAGGATCTTGGTAAGAGCCTAGGAATTCAAATTTTAGGGGATGAAGAGAAAGTGGTGAATTGAATTGCTAATCTCGAAGAAAATCAAGTTAGGGGCAAGGAGGGTGCTGTTCAAGGTTGATAACAGGAACCATGAAGGTCCTCTCTTGGAATTTGCGTGGAATGGGTTCGGATGTTAAACGATCGACTCTTCGTAAATTGCTAACAGAAAGTGGAGATGGCAATTATTCTAGAAACAAAGTTGGAATCGATAACGACGAAAGTGATTCGGAAGATTTGGTACGTTGATGAATTCGAATTTCAGTGGTCTCCAACTGTAGGTAGGCCAGGTTGGTCTTGTTTTCTATTTGGAACAAATTAGTTTTCAATCTAGTACAGGTTAAGATTAGGCAAGGGCAAGGAGGGTGCTGTTCAAGGTTGATAACAGGAACCATGGTCCTCTCTTGGAATTTGCGTGGAATGGGTTCGGATGTTAAACGATCGACTCTTCGTAAATGCTAACAGAAAGTGGAGATGGCAATTATTCTAGAAACAAAGTTGGAATCGATAACGACGAAAGTGATTCGGAAATTTGGTACGTTGATGAATTCGAATTCAGTGGTCTCCAACTGTAGGTAGCCAGGTTGGTCTTGTTTTCTATTTGGAACAAATTAGTTTTCAATCTAGTACAGGTTAAGATTAGGCAAAACTTCATTTTTGTTAGGGGTCGTTGGATTGGACAGGTGATAGTGTAGCAATTTTTTTATGCTCCATGTGTGGTGAATGAACAAGTTGTTTTGTGGAAGGAGTTGATCCAAATGAAGCGAACGGTGTCTGCAATATGCTTATTTAGAGGAGACTTTAATGTCGTTAGATATAGATGTGAAAAAAAGGGGGTGTTCCCCTCTTGAAGGGTTGTGGCGAATTTAACAAATTTATCTCGAAAGGGAATTTGATTGACTTGCCGATGTTGGGAAAGATATAACACAATGGAGTTTGAAGCGTTTGGAGTCGGATCATATTCCGATTCTTCTTACCAAGGGTTCATCATATTGGGGTTTGAAGTCTTGCATTAGAGTGGAGTCGAGCTCTAAGGTGATATGGAATTGGATTCAGAATCCTATATATAGACCTTGGCAATGGGGGGATACTTCCTTGGAAATTGTCAGGCTAACATTGTTAGTAGGTAAGGTGAATTTCAGCTTTATTTCTAGAGTGGTTAATGGGTCATCTTTACAGCTTGCTGCTATAGGTGCACTTAGACCTTAGGTGTTTAAAGCGTTTTGGTAGGATTCAACCCTTTCCAGTGGTTGCTGTTGGGGGAGGTTGATATGTAGGCAGTGTTGTTTTTGGTATCTTGAAGTTCGACCTTAAAATTGGAATGGGCGCTTGTTGGTGTGGTTTTTTCACGTTTGGGTAGTTGTGTTTTGAATTAAAGTCGGATGATTTGAGGTGGTTTTCTTGTGCTCCTTTTGCGTGTGTTCCTGTAGCTGTACCTGGTGTGCTAGAGTCTTTGTCAAGAAACATGTTTCCTATGCTCGAATTGTTGGTTGGTTGGGACTGTGGAGTATATATCCTGTTTCGAAGGACTACTATGAGTGCAATCGGGGACTGGTTCATTTGTTTCTCATTTGATTCTTGCCAGAAGTGGATCCCATTCGATGTAGTGCTGTCTCAAGAGTGCTAATGCCATTGTTTTCCTACTTTTACTCTATTGGGAAGAGATCCGGTTTTGTGTTCGAATAGCCTAGCTTTGTTCTCGTTGATATGTTTTATGTGTTATCTACTGGGATTTTTTTTATGATTTTCTATTATTAATAAGTTCCTAATTATTTGTGATACGCAACCGGTAGGTTGTTTCTAAAACTACTTGGCTTGTTTTTAGGATAACAAAATTATTGAGCCTTATTTTTCTCTTTCTGGTTATTGTAAGGCTTATATAAGCCAAAGGTCTGTTTGTTTTCAGTGTGAAGTGCAATTCATCTATTTTGAGTGTGAATTTATTATGCCTAGAATCTAACAATTCTGGTATCAAGAGATTTCTAAGGGCCTGTTTTGAGAGAGAAAAAAACAACATTTTTTTAAAGAAAAAAGAGTAAGTGTTGAAGAACGACTTCTTAGAGTACTTTTGTTCAACCTACTATTCCTAAGTTTTGGGACATGGAAAATTTGTTGCGTTCAAAAGAGTACTAGAATCTTGTGGAAAGTGGAGCCCCTGCAGCAGCAGAGGAAACAGAGCTCACTGAAGCCTTAAAAAGGACGTTTGTCGAGCAACAACTAAAAGATTTGAAGGTAAAAAATTATTTGTTTCAGGCCATTGATTGTTCCATCTTGGAGACCATTTTGGACAAAGATATTGCTAAGAGTATCTGGGATTCCATGAAGCATAAGTACCAAGGTTCAACAAGAGTTAAAAGAGCGTAACTCCAAGCACTTCGAACGCGAGGTTCTTCACATGAAAGAGGATGAGAGTGTTGATGAGTATTTTGGCAGAACTCTTACCATAGCAAACTAAATGAAAGTTAATGGAGAAAGCATGGGTCAGGTAAAAATTGTTGAAAAAAAATCTCAAGATCAATGACTTCCAAATTTGATTATGTTGTTTGTTCAATTGAAGAATCCATTAATGTAGACATTCCAACCATTGATGAGTTGCAAAGTAGTTTACTAGTGCATGAGCAGCGCATGAAAGGGCATGAAACATATGAACAAACAAGGCCTCATTATTCAAACAACAATGTTTACAAACATGATTTTCGTTATACAGACAAAGGTGTTATTAAATGTTTTTGTTTGTCTCCAAATAACTCTAGAGGACAACACTCAACTTTGGCATCGTAGATATGGTCACCTAAGTCACTAAGGTCTCAAAACCTTGCAGCAAAAGAAGATGGTGAAAGGGCTACCAACATTAAACAGCGTTTCAAAGATTTGCATTGATTTGCATGGTGGGAAAACAACATAGGGTTGCAATACCAAAGAAGAGTTGGTGGAGAGCAACACAATGATTGCAGCTAATTCACTCTGATCTTTGCGGACCTATCAAACCAATCTCCAATAGAATAAAAAGGTACTTCTAAGCTTCATTGATGATTTTAGTCGTAAAATGTGGGTGAATTTTCCTGTTGAAAAGTCTGAAGCTTTTACTGTCTTCAAGAATTTTAAAAATCTTGTTGAGAAAAAGACATGTTTATACATCAAGTGCTTACGAACAGACAGAGGTGGTGAATTAACATCATCTGAGTTTGAGGATTTTTGCAAATTAAATGGCATCAGCAGACAATTTACGGCGGCCCTCACACCCCAACAAAATGGAGTAGAGTGCAAAAACATGAAAATTATATACATGGTTAGGAGTATGCTATCAGAGAAGCAAATTCCAAAGGAATTCTGGCCAAAAGCTGTTAAATGGACAGCCCACGTACTCAATAGAAGTCCTACACTAGCTGTAAAAGACATGACCCTGGAGGAAGCGTGGATCGGTTTCAAGTCCAATGTTGATTATTTTCGAATTTTTGGGTGCATTGGTCATGTTCATGTGCCAGGTAATAAAAGATCAAAGTTGGATGACAAAAGCTTCAAGTGTGTCCTACTAGGGATCAGTGAAGAGTCTAAAGCATATAAACTTTATGATCTGGTAGCCAACAAGGTGGTGATAAGTAGAGATGTGATCTTTGAAGAGAACTAATGTTGGAATTAGGGGAGGAGCAACAAAGAAATAAATCTCGATGTACTTGAATGGGAAGAAAACAACTCTAATGACAATGAAGATTTGAGGGGGAAAGAAGAGAAGAGGATGATGAAGATGGTGAAGATTCAGACGACTCTTTAAGCAACTCTTCCAATGATAATTCTTCCCAAACACCACAGGAAGAGAGAAACAGGAGAAAACCTTTTTGGATGAAAATTTGTAACTAGAGAGGGCTTGTTAGAAATAGAAATTGAACATAATCTGGTTCTATTTGCATCAAATTCGGACCCAATTACTTTTGAAGAGGTTGCCAAAAGTTCCAAATGGAGAGCTGCAATGGATTTGGAGATAGAAGTAGTAGAACGTAATAAGACATGGGAGCTAACAGAACTTCCCAAAGAAGGAAAGAAAATTGGAGTGAAGTGGATTTTCAAAACCAAACTCAATGAGAATGGTGAAGTTGATAAATGCAAGGCTCGACTGGTAGCAAAAAGATTTGCTCAACAATATGGAATCGATTACAATGAGGTGTTTGCACCGGTGGCTCAATGGTATACAATTCGGATTGTGATTGCAACAGCAACTCAAAATGGCTGGAGTATATACCAACTTGACGTCAAGAGTGCTTTTTTACATGGAGAATTGAGTGGAGCTGTATTTGTTGAGCAACCACAAGGATACGAGAGGAAAAGTGAAAAGCATAAAGTATACAAATTGAAGAATGCATTATATGGACTCAAACAAGCCCCTCGTGCATGGTATAGTCGCATTGAAGCTTATTTTACCAAGGCAGGCTTGGAAAAAAGTATCTGTGAACATATTTTGTTTGTCAAAAGAAGAGAAGGTAAAATTTTGATTATCAATTTATATGTTGATGATTTGATTTTTACTAGTAATGATGAAAGCATGCTTATTAATTTTAAAAATCCCATGAAACTTGAATTTGATATGACTGACTTGGGAAGAATGAAGTATTTTCTTGGCGTGGAGGTCTTACAAAATTCTGAAGGTATTTATATCTGCCAGAGGAAATATGCAAGAGAAGTTTTGGAAAAATTCAATATGGAGAAAAGTAACAGCGTGAAGAATCCTATTGTTCCTAGAATGAAATTATTGAAAGATGAGGGTGGCACTAGGGTGGATTCTACTATGTACAAGCAATTGGTGAGGAGCCTAATGTATATGATAGTAACAAGGCATGATATGAAAGGTATTGTGAATTTGGGAGTATTTTATCAGAGAAAAAATAAAGAAGAACTTGAGACTTATACTGACAACGATTACGCAGGTGATGTAGATGACAGAAAAAACACCTATGGCTATATGTTTTTACTTAGTAAAGGAGTAGTGCCATGGTCTTCCAAAAAGCAACTTGTGGTCACTTTGTCCACCACTGAAGCAGAGTTTGTGGTAGTAACCTCATGTGCATGTCAAGGGATTAGGATGAAAAGAATTTGTGACAATAGTTCCACTATCAAGCTTTCCAAAAATCTAGTTCTACATGGGCATAGCAAGCACATCGATGTCAGGTTTCATCTCTTACGTAACGTAACCAAAAAAGGAATAGTTGAACTGAGATACTGTGGTACACAAGAACAAATTGCAAATATCATGACAAAACCACTCAAACTGGATGTGTTTCTAAAATTGTGTAGCCTGCTTGGTGTGTGTAGTACTTGAAGTAAACTGAATGTTATTGCAATCAGTTTAGGGATGATTTGTTAGGATTTGTTTTTATGATTTTCTATTGTTATTAATTTTCTAATAATTTTTGATATGCAATCAGTAGGTTGTTTCTAAAACTACTCGGCATGTTTTTAGGATAGTAGAATTATTGAGCCTCATTTTTCTTTTTCTTTTTGGTTATTGGAACGCTTATATAAGCCAAAGGTCTGTTTGTTTTCAAAGTGAAGTGGAATTCATCTATTTTGAACGTGAATTTATTATGCCTAAAATCTAACATTATCTTGGTTCGCCTTTAGTGCCGCTAGTTGTGTTGCCCTTTATCAGTTAAGTCTTGTTGGTTTTTTCTTGGATATATGTACTATTTTCCTCCATTCAGGGTTAGGAAAGTTTTTAACGAGGCATATATCCGAGACGGCTGTAGTAATTTCTTCATAATAAAACTTCTTTGCTGGACGAAAAAAAAACAAGTGATAAAAAAACAAATCCGAAGTTTATTGAATAAAAACATAGGTACAAAAGAAAATGAAAACAAAACAACCATTAGCTAAAAATATCGTACCATTCACAAAGCAGCTCCAAAAACTATAGAAAATACCGAAAGCAGACAAACAAAACATTCCGCTAAACTATTGTCAATTTTTATTTTGACCACCGGTCTCAATTTATTCAATTAGATCATCTAACTATTTAAATGTTTTAATCAAATCATTGACTGTTAAAAACCTTAGTATAATTACTTATTTAATTCTCAATATTTATATATTCAGACTCAGGTAGAAGGAAACATCGCAATCGCCTTAAACCACTGGGCAAAGCATTTTACTTGGTAATGTTATGAAACATTTTCTACAAAATCTATTGTAACTAACGGGAGCGAAAGAAGAGAACTAAAATGCTAATAAGGGATCTCGAACCCAAAAAATTAAGGTAAATTATGCTTAAACTAAGCAAACACTTGATTGAATTTTATACATTATAACTTATTATTATCAGATTGAATCTTTTATAATAAAAACGAGATTAATTTTTTTATATTTTTAAACTAGATTTATCCTTTTATTTTTAGAATTTAATATATATATAATTATTAAAACAAATAATTTAATTTTTATTAAAATAAAGTGTTCGAACTCCATAATTTATTAAGTTAAAAATATTTCTTTTAATTTTTATTAAAAATAGTTAAGTGGTCATGAATATTTAAAATGAAATATTTTTTAGAAAATCATTTTAACGTAGTTAATTATTAAGTTTTAATACTTTATTTTAATGAAAGTTAAAAATTATTAATTAATAAACAAATTTTGGTTTAATTAATATATATATATATATATATATATTAAATTATAAAAATAAACGAATAAATCTAGTATATATATATTAAATTATAAAAATAAAGGAATGAATCTAGTATATATATTTTATAAATTAAAAATAAAGGAATAAATATAGTTTAAAATTATAAAAAAATTAATCTCGTTTTTATTATAAAAAATCAATTTAATAATTATATTCATATAATGTATAAATTAGAATCAATAGTTTGCTTTGATTTAGTGTATAATATATGTGCAATCCATCTTTGTGGCCTTAGACGCTTGCATTGCTTCCATAAACCTGGGTACGATTCCCCCTAGGTGCATTTTACTCTTTTTAGTAACCTCTTTTCTTCTTTAACTTATTTTCTACCTACTCAAGTTATGACATGTGTCACCATTTAATTGGGTAGAAAATAAAATAAATAAAATAAAAAATAACTCTCAATCACATGCTTACACATGTCACTATCAAATTAAGAGATTAAATATATTAAATTGAATTAAAATTATGAATAAACTAATTTGATACTTAAATATTGAGGACAATAAATAATTATATCAAATTTGTTAACTAACAAGTCATTTTCTTCATTGAAACATAACGGTTAGTAGCTTAATTAAAGTATTTAAATAAATTGATTAAATCGAAATAATCTATTATATAAAGCTCTTGCAGGTAGGGAAATTCTTCACCTTCTATTTTAAGTGGTATCCACCGTTCCCACAGTCACATTGCCTCAAATTTTCAAGGACTGGGGTAGCGCAAGCGGTGGCAAGGAGGAGAGATAATTGATGTCACTGACACAGAAAGGTTATCTTCAAGACTGAATGCGGTGTCAACAGCTGCTGAAAGTCTTCAACAGTTGGGAGGGATTTCCTGAGCTTTCATGGAGGATGGAAGGCTATTGCTTTTCTCCATAGTTTCTTCAATGTCTAACTGTCCTTGTCTGCACTCTTCACTACAGAAAGAAATGCCCTCTCTGCAACCAAAATCCACCAATAAGTAACAATTTCAAACCCCAAAATCCAATCTTTATCAAAATAGATAGAAACCCTCTTTTTCAAGAACCCAATCTTTATTTCCAAATAATAAAATATTCATCAGATCCCTCTATAAAATTAAGCACCTTTTTTTTCAATAATAAACACTAACCTGTACATGAAGAGGTCTTCATTACCCCCAAGAGGCTCCTTGCAAATGAAACAAACATCCAAGAAATTGGGTTGATTGCAATCTTCAAATCTAGCAGACCTTGGAGATGAGCATGAAGAAGGATATGATGATGGATTCTTCAGACTAATTTTCCTTGAGTAACAAAGTGGTCTTTGAGAAAACTCATTTTGGTTACGGGTTTGGTAATCGGTGCCCGAATTCCCAACCTCCATTACTGCAACATAAGCCAAGCCTTGATCTTCTTCGATGAAACAATGGCCTCTTGAACGTCCAGTGAGACAATGCTTTTCTTTTTCTTTTTCTGAAAAAAAAAGGGGAATGATTTTTAGGCTTTATTGAAGGGAACAAGAGACCTAAATGAGCGGGAAAACATTATCAAATTTTTTGTTAAAGACTAAATTGATAAATCATGTAAACAATGAGAATTAAATATATCAGATTTAATAGTAATGATATCCTCAATACTTTTTGAAAAAAATAATTATCTAATTTTGAACTTATTTTATATTTAATGTAATTTTTAAATTAATTTTTTTACTCTTTCATCAACAATAATTGTAGTTGATCATTATGATATTGACATGATATATTACGATATTGATGTGACAGTATAGAGTAGATGTGAGTATTTAATCAAGTCAAGTAAAAAATTAAGTTATTCAAGTTGATGAGTCGTATTTTATGACTCAAACTTAATTTGATATTTTTTCCTATTCAAGTTTATATTTGTAGAAATCTATTTTCATTTGGGTTTATTTTTTTAATATATATATATATATATATATATATAATAATATATACTATATAACTATAATATATATTATTATATATATTATTATTATATATAATATATATATATATATATTATATTATATATGTTTATTATATAGTATATTATGCAGTGTATATAAATATATTAATTATATATATTATTTATTATATATTATTTATTTGTTTATTTAGTTTGATTCAATTTAGGTCTAGAAAGAGTCCAAGTCCAATAGAGGGAACCCAACCGGGTCCAACAGTCTAAGGGGTTCAGCAAGGAGCCCAATCGGGTAGGCTAGCCTAACCCAACAAGCAGACCGGTGAGCTTAACAAAACTAGGGTTTGACGATTAGCAAAAGGCACTGCAACAACAAGGTCATAGGATCAAGTTTGGATCAACAACCCAGATCACGAGCAGTTAGGGTCATAAAACCCTGAAACCAGCATATACCAATGCATAGCCACACAAGGGCCGTTAGATCTGGCCCTGTGATCTAACGGCCCAAATTGCATCAAGAGGCTGACAATCATCATTCAATGGAGCGTGAAGGTTACACGCCTGCATCGGTCAAGATTATCAACATCTAAAGCCAGAAATATCGCAAAGTCAGGGCAAACACATACCATAAACCCTGAAAATAGAAAAATCAGAGCACACCAACAAAACGTCGAAAGAGGACAGCACTATCCCGAAAAGCTCGGCAACAACCAACAATGTCAAACGGGACTGAACCATCCCGAAAAAATTGACAACAATCAACACCAGTGGGGCTATATAAACCCCAAGTATCGTCGAAGCAAATGACAAGAAAAAATCGAAGAGAACAACAAAACAATACCACGAATGAAAGACCAACAAGAAAAACAACAAAAATCCCATCAACCTACACGAAAAAGCATCCACATCAAACAAAAACCAGCAAACAACATCCTAATACCCAAAAAAATCATAAAAACCCAAGCTTTAGTCTCGGTTTTGAAAGGGGAAGGAAGGACCATTGGGAAAACAAGGAGTCACAGTGGGCAAAGGTAAAAAAAGTTACTTTCAGGCCTAGATCTACTCCGATATAGGGTTTTTTTCATATTTTTTAGGCTAGATTCGTGGTTGGGGTTTTGAGGCAAATCGAAAGGGGTAGTTTTAGGTTTTCGGCCACCATGGACGGTGGCCAGAGTAGCGGTCAGGCGGCGGAAGGGGTAACCAATGATTGACCGACGTTAGGCCGGTTGAGGAGAGAGGGGAGAGGGGTTGAGAGAGTTTTTGAAGTTTTTTTGGGAATTAGGTTGAAAATGATTTTTTTGGATTTAAAGGGGTATTTATAGTGGACTTTTGTGTAATTATGAAATTATTAAATTATTTCCGCAGTCCCTGTTACTTTGATGTGTAATTCATTTCGGTCACCCATCGTAAATTTGCCCTTAAATTTTAATTTAATTTAATTCAATCACTGTTATATATTTTTTTTTTACAATTTGACCCCCTAACTTTTATTTTTCTCCTTGCAACTTCCAATTAACTTCAATTTGACCTTTAATTTCAAATGTTTTTAAATTTAATCCTTCTGTAATATTTCTTTTAATTTAATATTTTTTCATTTATTTTTATTTATTTTTTTCATTTTATTTTATCATATTTTATTATTTAATATCAATTTGGCTTTTTTAGGACAAATTTCATTGGTTAAAGTTAGGTAATTTAGTTCGAACTTTTAAATTTTTATTTAACTTTTAATTATCGCAATTAAGACAACCGAAAAAATCAAATTTGTACCGAAAGGGCAGTAAAAGGGTGTTAATCTTTCCTAGAATGTAATCGACTCCCGAATTTGATTAATTTCTTATAAACGAAGATCAGACAAATGGTAAGTGAAGGTGTCTGGTTAACCTAATTTTAAATGACTGGTGGTGGGTTAAACACATTAATTCAAGTCAAAACCCAATTCTGGGCTCACCCAAAGAACGGTTACGACAGCTTGGCGACTCCACTAGGGACTGGTAAGTTAGTCAGGCCAAAATTGATTTTCAGTTGGCTTCTTAAGCGAAAATTGTAAGTATAAATTGTAATTTATCCTTTCGACTATTACTATTTACCTTTGATTATTATTTTTTGAATAAATAGGTGTACTGATGTTTTTCAATGATTTTAGTTTTTTTTCAAAATTCAACCTCAGGCTCTATTCCTTAGCTCCAAACCTTTTTTAATTGGAGGTGAAAGCGACTCCTTCATGGGAATTTATTCTCCGTATAGGCCTAGCAAGTAACCTTCGGGATTCATATATCTTATGTCTTCGTGTGAATTTATTCTCTATACGAACATAAGGGAATGTATCCTCTCGAGTTTAAATTGATCCACATGAGCTTGTAATGAGCTCAGGAGTGAGGGTCTAGAAAGCCCAATGGGGCACCAACAAGGAGAACTCGGGTACCTTTTTAGAACCAAACTGTGACGCTACAAGGAATTAGAGCCCACCCCAAAACTCCATTTCAAAACCTAGGATACTTAATTTATTTCATGCTTTATTTTATGTTCAAAGCATGCGATTTATAAATTTATACGGTTAAGATTTGTTCAAGAAAATAACATGCGGGATAGAGATTATGTCCGGGTAGGAATAAAAGCATGTGAGGTAGGAATTTTATTTTTATTTCCATTATTATTTTAATTTTTTTTAATTTTTGTCTTACTAACTTGTTTCCTTTCATTTTCTTCATGTTATTCTTATCATTTAAAGAGTTTTTGATTCTCCAAAAGTGTTCGTTAAAACTCAAATAGTATGCATTAATGGACAAAGGGGTTTTAATGCAAGAGGTTAAAAATGCATAATTTCGATTATTGTCAGAAAAGATTAAGAAGGAAAATGGGGATAGTCTACAGGAGAACTATATATAAAACCTGGCTGGTTATGCTTCTGTTAGCCTTAAATAGAATGATACCCAAGAATTGCGGAATATTTGGGACAGTTCTAAAATTGACAGAAAAAATAAGTTTTGCCAGCGATACGGTGATATTGCACACCTTCTCTATGTCAAGGTAGATGAACCCAGGGTACATTTATTTTACTTTCAACCAAGAAGACATGGTGCCTACAATTGAGGAGTATACCACGTTGTTACAATGCGAATGAATCATAATGAATCAGGTCTTCATCAAATATATCAAGAGTCATCCTTTCAAGAATGGGTTGGCAAAGATTGTAGGGTTGATGAAAAATGGGTAACATACCAGATTCAACACAAAGGCAATGGAGAAGGAATTGCTTGGATGCACATCAAGCAATTAATGAAGAATCACCCAAATGAGTGGAAGACGATTGATCTTTTTGCACTGGGTGTCTATGGACTGGTTATTTTCCCTAAAACTTTAGGATATATTGAGGCAGCCATGATGGAACTATTTGAATAGCTTCCCAAGAGAGTGAATCATGTTCCAACAATTCTAGCTGAAACTTTCCGTTCACTAAGTCATTGCAGAAACACTGGCGGAGGACGTTTTATAGGGTGCACATTACTACTTCAGGTTTGGATCCATATCCATTTTTGGAAAACAGACAAGATTTCCTACCACCGATTCAATACTACTTACTCTTCTTTGGAGGAATTCCTTACACAAAAATGGCGAGAAGGTATTCCAAAAGATAAATGGGTAAAAATATTCACACAGCTCTAGGAAAAGGACATCGTATGGAGAGCCCCTTGGTTAACTCATAGTGACATTCTTTACCGGTGTGGAGACTCAAGAATATTAATATTACTTGGGCTATGGGGAGGAGTTGGTTATTCTCCACTCTTAGTTCTTTGGAAGTTTGGGGCACGTCAGTTTGTTCCAGTCACACATGAGATATTTAGATCCGAGTTTGCATACCATGAGGATAACTACAAGAAGAAGGTTAAAGATGTAGCTGAGTCATGGAAGGAGATATTCCGTATAGAGGTTGTGGCTACAAAAGACATGCTTATTCTAGTTTATATGGAATGGAGAAGGCTAAAGAAGAATGACAATGTTCCTACACCAGACCATGAAGATACCTGAACCATAAAAAAGTACCTCAAGATAGTCCCCTCTGAATTGAAGATAGAAATAAAGGAATTTGAAGCTGAAAAAGAAGAACTAAAACAAAGATTGATAGAGTTAGAAGCTGAAAAATTCCAATGGAAGCTAGATGCTGATGCTCAAAAGAACCGAGTGGACATGTTAGAAAAAGAACATAAGAAAGTCTACTTTGAGTTGGAAGATTTGAGGAAATGGTATCAAGAGCAAGTTCATAACAATTACAGCTTAAAAAGTTCTTCCGAGTACTGAAAAGGTGAAGTTAGCAGCTTGAAAATGAAGTATGAGGGACAAGATGAAAGAGAGATACTGAAAGAGCAGTTAAAGACTTCTCAAAGACGTTTGTTAGAAAGGCAACACCAGAACAAGAGATTCAAGACCAAGGTAACTGATCTGGAGAGGTCTCTTCAAAAAAACAACAGGAACAGGATGAAAAAACTATAGCAGAATTACAGGTCATTATGGACAAATTCAAAAAGCAAGCAAATGAACTCCAAATTATTCCTTTTGATAGACGACTCTAGTGGCGTTTCTGTTGGGAACATGCTCAGTAAAGGGTGAAGGCTAGAGATGCAGTTATTCAAGACTTTTTAGAGCATGTACAAAAAGCATCACTCCACTTGCATGACTTGGCGAGAGAAGCTAGGGTAGTTCGACAAGGTATTCAGCCAGTGACAGAAGAAGCAAGAAGACTTGTCAACCTCTTAGAAGTCGTTCGGAGTCTAGAGGAGCTGGCTAGAATTTACCTTTGAATTATTTTTGGTCCCTTAGAAGTAACACTTTTGAAACAATAAAAACTATTTATAATAACATACACGTTTTGTATCAATGCCTCAAAAATTTCATGCATTATGTATTTTTGCATTTTTTAGCATTTTTCATCTATTTACATTCAAATTAACTAACATAAATTGTCTCATAAAAAAAGGAACAAACACTGGACACACTTCATCCTCACAATACCCGTTCAAAAAAGAAGATTGAAGCTAAAATTGCTTAGCTTGAGAAAAATATGCTAAAACTGCAACAAAAAAACTTGAGGAGAAAATGAGATAGAATAATCAAAATACCTTGGATTCTATCACTAGGAACAAAGAGTCACTAGTTGATCAGATCGTTGTATAGTTGTCTGGTCTAAATCAAATGAGTGCCCCTAGGGTAGGGGCATCTGAAGGGGTAACTGTATTACCTACCCCATAGTTGGTTATCTCACCTGGAATCCTACCAGGACTTCAAGGGAACTCATCTGCTGCAAAAGAACAAGCTTCATCTACTACAAATGATTATCGTATTTCAAATTTTGATAAAGACAAAGCAAAGAAAATGGAGGAGAAAATTAAGTTGTTGGAAGATCAAATGAAGACAATTAAGGAATAAGATAATTATTGCAGAGTTGATGCTTTGGAACTAAGTTTGGTCCCATATTTAATTGTTCCTTCTAAGTTTAAAGTCCCAAATTTTGAGAAATACGATGGGAACAGTTGCCCTTCAGCTTACATTACCATGTTCTGTCAAAAGATGTCAGGATACATGGGAAATGATCAGCTCCTAATTCACTACTTCTAGGAGAGTTTGTCATGTTTAGCCATCTGGTAGTACACTCAGCTGAACCGTTCACAAATCAGAACATGGAAAGATCTCGCCAAGTTTTTCTTAAAACAATACAAGCAAGTCAATGGCATGAGGCCAGA